ATCAACTCAAACAATTTGCACAAAACACCGAAAGGGAGCTGATTTTCAAGCAACAACAAATCGCGTTGCAAGCTCGTACGCATCCAATCAACTTTGAAAATCGGATCGTCCTCAGTTATCAACTCTGGCATGGAATAGTTTTTAAGTAGCAATTGTATTATAAAACAACCATCTAACAGTAGCATATTCACGAACTGCTCGTCGTTAAGACTAAAAGATCCAGCATACTTTTTCCTAGCTTCCATTGCCAGCTCCCCCAATTCTTGTAGGAAGTTTTTACAAATTTTTTCTTTAATTTTGTCGCAACCCTTATCACCTCTGTGGCCAACAACTCTTCCCATCATTTCTTGTAACACATAATCTTCATCTACTTTTACTTTTTCATCAAATAGTTGATTGAGGTATTGTAATTTGTGCTTCTCCATCGCGCTTAAGCTTTCATTTTCCCGATGATAAGGACCAATTGAGATGATTTCTGGTTCGTACGCCGTCATATTCACATTTCTTAGGATGTCATGCACTTTAAAAATAGGACGTTGATATTCAGGATCGCCAAGATTGCGAAGCCCATTCCATATTTGCCCAGAAGCTGGAGATCATAAAAATTTAAATTCACATCAAAATCAATAATAAATACTTTTAGAATATGAAACACAAGTAATGCCTCGTATCGCCTAGGTCCACATGTCAAAAAAATTGTTGTTTTTCTTTAATTCGAAATTTTATATATATATATATATATATATATATATATATATATATATATATATATATATATATATATATATATATATATACTCGGAAAGAACTCAGAACGCATGACATCTGTCCGTGTGTCCAGATCTAACAGATAAGAAACACTAATTTTAAAAAAATGCAATGACATTTTCGTTAATAATTGAACATCGAAGTGCAAGTAAAATGTATTACAAGTGCAAGCAGCAATTTCATATAGTGTGCCTCAGTGCAAGTAAAATGTATTACAAGTGCATGTAAAATGTATTACAGGTGCAACTAAAATTTACACTGAGTATCAATACAAAGTGCACCTAATGTTATAACTAAATGCACCTAACGTTATAATTAGTTGCAACTAAGGTGCACGAATGTTAACAAGGTAAATTGCTTGCACTTGTAAGTGAAAATAGGTGCACTTTTAAGTGATTTTACTTGCACTTTTTACGTGATTTTAGTTGCACTTTTTACATGCAAAGGTGCACCAGCTACTCGCACTTGTAACACATTTACTTGCATCAAGGTTCGAATTATTTACGAAAATGCCACCATATCATTTTTTAAAAGGTCACCAAAGTCGTTTAAGACGAAATTGAGAAAAACCATTATAGTTGATGACCATTTTGAGTATTAACTCGTTTTTTTAATGAAAAATAGTACTCACCGATGCTTATTGGTTTCTGTGCACCAAGTATGGTATCCGATCAATGATTTTGTATTGTATGAGATCTTTTCTATGGAAGGATCCGTGCAATATATTCATATTTTAAAGGATGATGCTTACACATTCGATTCCAAGCTTTGGTATGGTTTCATCCATTGTGGATTCAATCATAGCCAAACAAACATTCCATGGCCAAAACATTTATGATGGGTATTGCACTATGAATATAAAATTTCCTGATGCAGAATTAATAATGGCTACCCTATGGGGGGAAATAGATCATCAAACTCCCACTCTTCAGGTGGTAATTGATGCGGAAGTGATAATCGAAAAAGAGATGAGTGATAATGTGGTTGACATGAGTCCGGTGCAATTGTTGGTGAGGACTATACTAATCAAGCCAATCAACAAGAAATTAAAAATTTTACTGAGGAAGGGGTAGATCCTGCACCAAATACTATGTGGGAACACATCACGGGCCACAATTGTGCATTATGTTAAGTCTCCCCAATTTTTATTTTTTTTTGAATGCTCCCCAATTGTTATTACAAGAACCAATTTTCACATCACTAGTGTCTTTGGAGGAAAATCTCATCCACTTTACAGTAGAAATGATTTCCAAATTGGTTCAAATCATGACACTAACAAGGAATTTAGTTACAGGGCGAACATGTGAACATGTTGTCTATGATGTCAACGTTTGGAAAATCAATCAAGCAGTATCATTAAGGCATGAATATGTTCATTTCCATACCTACACATTAAGGACAATTTGTTTTTTGAAGGGGTGGAGAATGATACACCCTTAAATGTAATTATATAGCTTAATTAGGAAGAAATAATTATGTTTCTAGAATTAGTAGGATAATTAGGATGGTACAACTTAATTAGTGGGAGAGTTAATATTGTGCCTAAATTAGCATAGGAAAATTATGTATATCAAAATGTAACATTACCTTGTATAGTTAGTATAATTTTAGTAGGTTAATTATTATAGGTTGTAATTATTCTTCTTAGAGCCCTCACACGCTTAAAGTGTGAAATTGGAGTTTGCAGTTACTCAAATACGATTAGGAGCCAGAAGTCTGCTCGAAAGGTTTCTTCTGTTGAGTACTAAATTTCATTACGTACTGAAATTTGATCACAGTCAACAGTCTTACCAACTTGATTAGGATTGCCCCAATTGTATCAATTACTGATTGTACTAATGCTAATAGTATTAGTACATTTTGCCAAACCAACATATTTATATCAAATACAATATGGTCTCAATATCTATAAATACCTTAAAATTTTTCTTATATTTATGACGTACTCTATTATGATTTATGAAAGATACATGAATACACATATGCAAATAGAAGGATTTAATTAACTGTAAGTGTACAAATGACACACTTTTTACTTTAATATAATTGACTAATTTATTTGACAAATGTTAGTTTTTAATTAAGTGTATTTTTAGATCGTACCCCTATTTGGATCTATCTCAGTCTCAGGATTTTTATTCACGCTGAAGCGGATATCTCAGCGTGTTTCTCTAATCAAATTCAGTTGTGCTGAATTAGTTTTCCGCCTGAATTAAAATGTGTGGATGTTATTTATAAGGGATTTCTGGTCATCATTATTTTGGGAAGGTGGTTACGCTATATCTAATATAAAAGGGATGGTTTCTATATTCTTATTCACGGATTTCATAGACATAATTCGAAGGACTTCTACTCTCTATATTAATCAGATTATATCAGTTTATTAATATGTTTGAAGTGGTGGTTTCACCGTATCAATCTGCGTGAAGCTGGGTCAGCGCACTTGAAGCTTGAAGAACAAGATCAGCATGCACGTACCTCTCCGGAAATAGATGTTGTAAAGATTAAAGTTGGTTTATGTGGCTGAGGCCTTTGTAATCAAACCCCTTGTAATTTTGGTGAACATTACATGAGTTGCCCCGCAGACGTAGAAGTTTAGTTTCGAACTACGTAATTTATTGATGTGCATGTCCCTGGTTCTACTTTTCTTATCTTTTAATTTGTTTTTATTCGAAAAAACAACTTAATTAATGGTAAGTTAATTTGTTTATTAAAATCAAATAGAACTTTAACCACGGATCAATTTCATTAACCATCTATCAGAAACGATTATTAGGTATATATGTACTGTATGAAGCAAAATAATCAAAAAGATAGGATAGAAGAAAGCACCTGATGTAGAAGCCTCCGTCGTCATTTCCACAATGAGCCTCGTGTATTGAGAAGAACAACTCAACTTGAAGATCAAGAGTAGCTATATGGCAATCGTGATACAAATTTTGGTTCGTTTTGGACACGTATATATCGTCGAAATTGGCTTAAAGAATATTCTTCTCATCAATCATGCAAAATTGTGCAAACGAAAAATAAATTAAAACATTTGGCATTTTCTCCTCTAATTTTATTATTATTCTTAAAAATATATTATTATTATTATTATATCATTTTATTGGATTATATAAAATTATATGCAAACAGCTGGCGCAAATGATTTCATTGGATTACCAACAATTTTATAATTTGTATTTGTTGTTAGCTTAGTATTGCCAGTACATCAAACTGACAATTTTTGGTAGTTTGAATTTATTATTTATTTATGTTGTTTGTTTTGAAGGAGTGCAAACGCTAAATGGATGGAATATTGGAATCATCTCAGCTGCAGATGCAATTTGACATATAATAAAAAGTTAAGGGCCTTAAGGCAGTTGAGTCGCAAAGAAAAATATGTCATACGAATCAGTATTATCTAGTCAATACCACCCCACTAAGACTCAGTGGCAGATCCAGAAAATTACATGAGTAGGACGTACTTAAAATGATTTTAGAATTGTTAATGCTAAAATATCAAACACATATAATATGGTTCAAATATATTAATAAATTATAATAAAATGTTTATGATATGAATGAAGACAAAACCCTACTTGAGTAGGGTGAAATTTTAAAATACTTTAAAATGTTATAAAAATATTTGTAGCAAAATATTGTGGACTACATTAACTAAATGATTCACAAAAAGGGTGGGTAGAACTAAAGTAAAGAGAGGAAGCTAAAATATACTAGAGTGTTGCAGCTGGAATTTGAACCCATACCATTTCAATCATAACCAAAGTTGACCCCATTACCTCCATTGTGGCTCTACCACTGCTAAGACTTGAACTCATAACCTTTCATTTGAAAGAGTCACCTCATGCCACTTAACCACATGGTCTTTTATATCATACCAATCAGTATTAAAGTTAAAGCATAATATAAATTTATCAAAAAGAAAAAAATGCACTGTTTGGTAAAATAGTTAGTCCATCGATCAGCTAATTTTGAATTGTTTGACCACTATTAGCTGTTTGACTGATTAAACAACCAATATAAGTGCTTGATTAATTAACTTTTGTAACAGCTTATTGCTTCAAAACACTAAAAAAACTGCCACTACTGGAAATTATGGAATTTCCGACCACCTGAAAGTGATCTTAAATCAAATCTAAGGTAAAAAGTGGTCGGAAATAGCTATAAAGGTTTTTCCGAACACCAAAAGTGGTCGGAACATGGCTTTTGACTTGATTTAAGATCATTTTCAGGTGGTCGGAAATTTTATAATTTTCAGCGAGTTAATACCCAAAATCGTCCTCGACTATAGTGATTTTTCTCAATTTCGTCCTAAACGACTTTGGCGACCTAATATCGTCCCAGACTTTTGTGTTTCGCTCAATTTAGTCCTCCATTTGTTATTCCGTCAAATTGGTGTTAAATAAAGAGACAATTCAGTAATGTCAATATTGATCTCGCTTTACTTTCAACTTGTGAAGTGCGAAATTTATCTTTCTTGTACGAATTACACCCATAATTACTCCCGGACCTGCAAATCAAATTTTATATTCGCAATTTTAGGAGTAATTCTGAGAGTAATTCGTAAAAAAAAAAAGATTTCGCAGTTCACATGTCTATGAGTAAAGAGATGTCAATATTAAAATTACGAAATTGTCTATTTATTTAACACCAAATGGACAAAATAACAAATGAGGGACTAAATTGAGCAAAAACACAAAAGTCTGGGACTAAATTGAGCGAAACACAAAAGTCTGGGACGATATTAGGTCACCAAAGTCGTTTAGGACGAAATTGAGAAAAACCACTATAGTCGAGGACGATTTTGGGTATTAACTCAATTTTCAGCAGTGTGCTCAAAACAGCTTTTTAAATTAGTTTTTTTAAAAAGTCATTTTGTATGTAATCAGCTTACCAAGCATCTTTTATGCTATCAACTAGTCAAACTCACTAATCTAATCATCTAACATCTATTTACCAAACATCCCCATAGAATTAAATAAAAAAGATAAATGAACTATTTACCATACACCCCATAGAATTAAATAAAAAAGATAAATGAACTATTCACAGATCAAATCTTGTCTTCTTCCTATGCATATATGTAACGATACAATGAAATTTCATATGCATATATGTAACAGTGGGGCCGGGAGACATTAACTCTTTGTGTTTCAGTATGTAGGTTGATAAAGTATGTAGGGACAGATATTAAATTGTAATAGAGTCAGTAATACTAAAACAATATATTTTTTCTTTAATTTTAAATTAACTTAATTTGCTTTTGATCTTTAACAGCATGTTTGGTTCACGGAATGAATTTGGAGGGAATATGAATACTATTCCACAGGGAATGGAATTGGTAAGGAATAGAATATGAATTGTATTCTATTGTTTGGTTCGCTGAAGGAATAGACTTCAACTAGTAATTGTATTCCAGTGTTTGGTTGGTTAAAGGAATACAAATGGAATAGGTTTTAAATGTAACATTTTCCATCATGTCACCATTAAGTGGTGCAAGTTAATATGTCATTTATGGCCATAATGTTGTCGTTTGAAACGGAAGTAACGGTTTCCGTTACTCAACCTATAATGATGGCATGTAGGTTATATATATGTATGGTCCTCCCACTGCTCCTGCGATCTATTCTGACTACACCATCTAGTAGAATAGCAGACCAAGTGGTAGACAAAAAACAGTTCTTTACTGTTCTTCAAGCAATGCAATGAAGGTATCAACTATGGCGGGAGGTATGCTTGATCCTATGCTTCCACTATTGAGGTTAGATTATATGAAACATGTCTATTTCATTTGTATATTTCTAACATTTGGTATCAGAGCATGTTTAATCTCTGCCTAGTTGATAAATTTGCACACGATATATATTTGAATTATATATTATGCAATATATATGTTTTACTACTGTTTTTTTTTCCTCGAGAATATGTTTGCAGTATAAATATCAGTTGGAATGATATATTTATGATACAGAAGTACATATGTATATATTCCTGTTATTGTATGCATGTTATCTTTGTTATCATGACATTTTTTGAGAAGGTAATCTTTGGAAAATATACATCTCAATTGTCGAAATACTATTACCTTTGGCCGGAATTTTTGCCGGATTCAATGAAGCATAACATAATTTTACTGCCCACCATCGTCGCCAAGCTGCCGTCCAACATGTTGGTCGGACGTTGAGTAGCATTTAGAATCAAGTGATGGGGCGATAAGGGTTGACATCAGCTCTTTGGGCGCTACGTTTCTTGTGATTGGTGTCTTGAAACCCATAGTGACATCAGGGTGAAAGATCACCGGCTTCGGAGAGACAAAGGTGGTCGCGGAGGTGCGGCTGAGAGAAGACATAGTCACATAGGAGGGGTGGGGAAACTGGGTTCCCGGTGGTGGTGGCGAGCGGTGTTGTTCCTGCTCCATCAGATCCGGTCGGTTCTGCTTTCTACCTTTCCATCCAGTGACGTCTCTCTCCTTCAGCGCTCCTAGTTTATGTTGACGCTATCGGTGACCGTGCTCCGACAAAGGGAGGCAGTGGTGACGACGGTCGTCTCTCACTTCCTGACAGTCACCGTCAGTTTCCAGGAGTGCAGCGCCGAGTAAGTAACATCATGGGTGGCGACAAGGCTATCACGAAGAAGACGAAGGAGCACTACTGTACTGCTATCACGAAGAAGACGGCGCAGTGCCATACTGGTACATTTCCCTATTAAAATGCAATTATTTTGTTATTTTACCATACTAGTTGTAACACCCCGTGTTACGACCCCTAAGATCAATTAAATCATTTAATCAATTACCCAAAAGAAAGAATTAAATCACAATAATTAATTAGGAAAGGCCCACCATAGTCCACGGGCCCTTATCCCTAAACCCAATCCCTAGTCCCAAAAGAGATGGAATTAGCAAGCCCATAATATTAGTTCCTAACTAGGACTCCTAAATATATAAATAGGGGACTTAAGAGGCACCTAGAAACCCCCCACCACAATAAACGCCCCACCACCCCAAAGAGCTCCAAGAATCCCCCTAGAAGAAATCAAGAAAGCAAGAAAGCTTAAAGAAAGACCCTTCATAGCCAAGGAATTATTTAAGGCTAAGAGGTAATCCATGTCTCAACAAAACTTATTTTCATAGCTATGATTCCCCCTTAGGATTCCCCATATCATCGTGTGTTGATGATTCGTGATATTGATGATTGGTGTTATGATTCCATTGGTATTCTTGATAATCTTGAGGATAAGAGGCTCTTAAGGATTTTATGGTGTTCTTGATGTTCTTGATGATTATGTGTTATTCTTGGTGTTCGTATGATGATCTTGAGGTTTATATGATCTTTCCTACCGAATCTTGATATTAAAAGATGAATTGTGTTCTTGTTGATTAAAAAGTGATTAGAACCCTAGGTTACATCGTGAGACTCGTGTGGTATTGTTCTTGGTATATTAGGTGGGAATTCACATGTTTGGGTGTTAATTATGTTTAGAAAGGCATGATAGGATATGTGCCGTATGTTTCCTGATTGTGATCCGTTAATTGTCTACGTATTGTTGTCGATTGCGTTTGAAAGTGTCTAAGCATGATTTCGGGTTCCACAAAGGTTCCCGAGGCGTTTTTGGTGAGAAAGAGTCAGTGGGGGGTAGGTGGGGGTAGGGGACCCGCCACTTACCCGAGGCCAAGTCGGGCAGTCCCGGCAGCGGGCAGCCGGCGGGCGGGCAGCTACCCGCCGGGCACCCGCTGCCCGGAACAGTGCACGCCGGCGGGTGAACCCTCACCCACCGGCTACCCGTTGGAAAATACCCCAACCCGGGATTTCGGCTTCCCCGTTTGAGGTTCCCTCAACCCCCGTGGTGTCCCAACGGACTCCGCCTATCGTGCCTATGTCTAGTTTGATATTTCGGGTACCGTTCGTAGGTTGTACGAGTCCTATATATTGCATGCTAGTTGAATTGGTATCCCGTTGACCTAGGTATAAGAAGTATGAACCCCTTAGGAGTATTCTTAGTTGTGGACGACCACGCATAGGTTTCGTTATACGTTTTCCCCCTTCCCAATGTGTTAATATGGGTTGCATGTGCTTGTTATGTGTTATGTGTGCATGTCACCCCGATGTGGTTGAGATCAATCGGGCTATACGGGCAGTCGGATGGGCTGAGAACCATACCGGCTGTTAACCAGGCTGGTAAAGACCAGTCAGGTATATAAATATTACATAGGACTAAGTTCCACTATCCGGGCAGTCGGATGGGCTGAGAACCATACCGGCTGTTAACCAGACTGGTAAAGACCGGTCAGGTATATAAATATTATATAGGACAAAGGTCCACTATACGGGCAGTTGAATGGGCTGAGAACCATCCCAACTGTTAACCAGGCTAGTAAACACCGGTCAGGTATATAAATATTATGTAGGACAAAGGTCCATCAGTCGGTTGCGATCGGCTCCTCCGTAATGTGAGACGGGGCAGGGTGCTGCGGGGCCGTGTCAGAGCTATATGCGCTGACCCTCATGTATGGGCATGCGATTGGTCCTGTGGCGCCAACAAAGTGTGCTATATGATGAGATAAGAAGGACTGATGTTGTGACTGTTATGGAAACGTGACCATAGGATTCTTGCTAGTAAACTATACATGTTCAATTGTGATTATTGGTTGTGTTTATTTATAACTGTGCCCTATGTCGAGAACTGTATATACTTGATTATGACTGCTGATTGTGTGTACCCCTATCTGTCGAGCCGGTTCCCTGATTTGAAAACTAGAGTCTCGTAGGATATATCTTCATGCTTCGAAATGACTTTTCGTATATCCATGTATATATGTGTATATGTATTGTATTTCAACGCGTTGGAGTGGGTTACCAGCATCTCTCGCTGAACAGATATATTTGGCTTTCAGGCACAGAAGAATAAGTCACTGGAGCGCGCTAGAACTTGGAGCGTAGAAGTAGATAGTTTCCCTTTCGGCCTGCGTGCCATGTTTATGCATTTACATTATTGAGGATATTAGTTAGTTAGCCTGTGCACCTGAGTTCTCTAGCTCAGGTGTGGCATAACACCCCGTACTCTTGTATTATGTTTTGGAATTTAATGAGATTTCACCTTTATTTTGTAAGTTTTAAATATCCTGAAAATCTGGGGTGTTACAGTTGGTATCAGAGCCTAAGTTTGACCCTAGGATAAGACTCTTAAGACCGGACTTTAGGACAATAGGCTCGAACTCTAAGTATTTAGGAACATAGGATTCAGGAATCTTAGGACACGCGGTGAGATTGTGAAACCTACACATAACCTCCCTTACCCGGAGAAAAACTTTCCCTCAAAGAAGGACACCATGCCCCAATTTAACGTTCTTATAAACATTGACCCAGGAAGACGACAACATGGCACCCAACAGAAGACAATCAAGGACTCCAGAACCCGCCGCGCACGACCCCCTAACCCAAACGCTACAACAACTAACACAAGTCGCCCAAGCACTAAGCGACGTGGCTCTCCGCAACGACAGGCCCCCACCACCTCCGTCGAACGCGAACGCAGACTTCGCCCGACAAGTCTCTAACCACCGACCACCCACGTTTTCAAGAGAGGAGGATCCCGTAATCCTGGAGGAATGGATCCGAACCCTTGACAAAATTCTCGGGTTAGTGGAATGCCAAGAAGAACGCCGCGTGGAGATAACCTCGTTCTACTTTGGACACGAGGCCGATCTCTGGTGGATCCACGAGGGTCCCACTTACCAACAAGAACCGGGGTTCAACTGGGAACAACTCAAAACGCGACTACGAGAGAGGTTCTATCCAACACACGTGAGAGCATCCATGTACGAGGAGTTTCTCCATCTGAAACAAGGGACAGCTACCGTTATGGAATACCACAAATGATTCCTTGAACTAGCACGCTTCGCACCTGAACTTGTCCCCACCGAGGTAACCAAAATAGAGAGATTCGTATCGGGCCTCAACTTTGAAGCCCGAAAAGCACTAGTGGTAAGCAGACCTCGGACTCTCAACGAGGCTTACTCTAGTGCCGCTAATCTCTACCGAATCCAACTACTCCAACGCGGGGTTCAGGAGTAAATGCGAAAGAGGAACCCCGGAGGAGGGGCACCACCAGTAAAAAGAATAAGAAGCGACGCCAACACGAGACCAGGCAACCTGACCAACCAAAGGCCACCTCTGGGGAACAACAACGCTAGCGCCAGGGGCTTTCCTTGCCCGAAATGCAACAAGAACCATAGAGGCAAGGATTGCATGGGCAAACCCTTGCGATGCTTCAACTGCGGAGAGGAAGGACACAAGGCCTTCCTTTGCACCCAACCCCAAAGACCACGCACTACCACCATGGGACAACATGGGGGCACCGCTCATCAAGGAAACTACGGCGCTCCCGGAAAAATATTCGTCATGAGCCGCACCCAAGCCGACCTCGGGAACGAGGGCAATCTCGAGGAAGGGAACCTAAGCCCAGAAGACGAGGACCACGCAAACCCCGTGGGAGAAAGCCAAGAGGACGAATTCTGTCTAGGTTAGATTGGCAATTTCTTGTAATCACCTTCGTGGTAAAACTACTTACTTAGCTTAATTACTTGGAAATATTATAAATAAAAGATTAGTTCGAAATTCGGTTCTATTTACGAGGGGTAGAACTAAAAAAATTATACAAACTAGCCAAACCTCACCACTAGAAACCGAAATAAGGAAGGAAAAAGACAAGGGCCCCATCATCAAAGAGCCTAGTGTCACTAATGAAAATTGAACTCTTGACCTCCCACTTACAAGACCAAGGTCTTGACCACTAGGCTAAAGGTGTTTCTTAAAACCTAAAGGGAACACTACCTTGTTAAAACCCCACAAAATCCCTAAAACCCACAAAATCCCCAAATCAAAAACCCTTCTCCTTCTTCTTCTTCTTCTTCCTCCCCTTCTCCTTCTCCATTATCTCCTTCTCCCTCTCACACCACACCGCCCCACCCCAAGAACCCGACGCCACCGCCAACGAACCTCCACCGCCGGCCGAACAACGCCGCCAGCGCCACGCCGCCGCGCCACCGCCCCCGTCGCCCACGACGCACCCGGCAGCAACCCGCTGCCACGCAACGCCGAACGCACAAGGCGGCCGTCACCAGCACGCCGTCGCCTCCCCTCACCGGACCAACGCCAGAACGCCGCTTGCCGTCGTCTCCCGCGAAAACAAAAAAAAAAAAAAAAAAAAAAAAAAAAAAAAAAAAAAAAAAACTGCCACCGAGAATTCACCGGAAAACTCGCCGGAAAACCACCGCCGTCTCGCCGGAAAAGGAACCGCCAGAAAACGTCACCAACAAACGAGCACCACAATGCCAAAGAAACCCCTCGGAATCCGCACCCCGGAGTGGAGCAATGCCGATTACACCGTAATCAGAGGTAAAGCACTTGAACCCGACCAATTCTCTTCGGAATTGGTTGACATGCTTAAACATCAAGGGCTCTTAGACACTTACCTCGCCATCAAAGGGGATACATACCCCGACTTGGTGAAAGAATTCTACCAACACCTTGTGGCCACCAAACGAGGTGACAAGGTAGAAATCACCACCAAGGTCCGTGGTAAGGAAATTGTGCTTTCCGAAGGCCGTTTGGCCAAACTCTTGAAATTGACCACCACAGGTGTGGCAAACTACGACCGAAAGGGGTGGATCGATACCCAACGCACGGGGTACAAGGACTACCTCGGGTACCTACTCGGGAAAGAGGACGAGTTCACCTCGGCCACGCGACCCAACCGGAAGTGGCTATCGGCGGAGCAAAAGATATTGGTTATGATTGTAACCGATAGCCTCCTGCCCACCAATAATAAGAGCAAGGACGTAGGGAGCTTAGAGTGCACCTTTGCCTATCTACTGAAACATAAAATCAAGTTCAACCTGCCGGCACTCATGCTAAAACACATGGAGTTTTGCAAGACAAACAACCGTCTTAGCCTACCCTACGGGATGATCCTAAGCTGGATCATGGAGAAAAAGGGGGTGGATCTAAGCCACACCGAGGTCAAGACCGCAAATGGCATGGTCTTTAACGCCCAAAACCTACGCCGCAATGACATCTACTACACCGGGGGAGGACATTACCTCACCCTCGAAGAAATCTGCCAAAAACCCGAGGATGAGCGAAGAGAACTGGTCGACCAACTAGACATCTCCAACAAAAAGCTCAAACGGGCAATGCAAGACTGCAGAATTCTGGAGGGAAATGAGGACCAGGAGGAGGATGACGAGCCCAACCCAACCGTGCAACCACGATCGGGAGGAAATCCAAGGGAGCAAAACGAGGGCTCCATCAACGAACGCATACTCGCACAGCTCAACCGGCAAAACCAAATCATGGAGGAAGGATTCTCATCCTTGATCCGTACGACACGCGCACTAGATCAGAGGGTGGCAGCAATCAAGGCCACCTTGGGCACTCGCGGGGCGCCCAGCTCAGGAGCAGGAGACCGAGGTAGACCTAAAACCCTTCTATCACAACACCAACAGAAATCCAGTCTACCCCAGCTAAGGCAAAACGTGGGGCCATATTCCTAACCGGGAGGCCAAGATGCGGGATGCCTGGGGGTGAAAGAGTGGATTAACACACCGGGCTTCGGGGACGAAGCCCCTCATAAGGGGGGAGAGTGTAACACCCCGTGTTACGACCCCAAGATCAATTAAATCATTTAATCAATTACCCAAAAGAAAGAATTAAATCACAATAATTAATTAGGAAAGACCCACCATAGTCCACGGGCCCTTATCCCTAAACCCAATCCCTAGTCCCAAAAGAGATGGAATTAGCAAGCCCATAATATTAGTTCCTAACTAGGACTCCTAAATATATAAATAGGGGACTTAAGAGGCACCTAGAAACCCCCCACCACAATAAACGCCCCACCACCCCAAAGAGCTCCAAGAATCCCCCTAGAAGAAATCAAGAAAGCAAGAAAGCTTAAAGAAAGACCCTTCATAGCCAAGGAATTAATTAAGGCTAAGAGGTAACCCATGTCTCAACAAAACTTATTTTCATAGCTATGATTCCCCCTTAGGATTCCCCATATCATCGTGTGTTGATGATTCGTGATATTGATGATTGGTGTTATGATTCCATTGGTATTCTTGATAATCTTGAGGATAAGAGGCTCTTAAGGATTTTATGGTGTTCTTGATGTTCTTGATGATTATGTGTTATTCTTGGTGTTCGTATGATGATCTTGAGGTTTATATGATCTTTCCTACCGAATCTTGATATTAAAAGATGAATTGTGTTCTTGTTGATTAAAAAGTGATTAGAACCCTAGGTTACATCGTGAGACTCGTGTGGTATTGTTCTTGGTATATTAGGTGGGAATTCACATGTTTGGGTGTTAATTATGTTTAGAAAGGCATGATAGGATATGTGCCGTATGTTTCCTGATTGTGATCCGTTAATTGTCGACGTATTGTTGTCGATTGCGTTTGAAAGTGTCTAAGCATGGTTTCGGGTTCCACAAAGGTTCCCGGGGCGTTTTTGGTGAGAAAGAGTCAGTGGGGGGTAGGTGGGGGTAGGGGACCCGCCACCTACCCGCGGCCAAGTCGGGCAGTCCCGGTAGCGGGCAGCTACCCGCCGGGCACCCGCTGCCTGGAACAGTGCACGCCGGCGGGTGAACCCTCACCCACCGGCTACCCGCTGCAAAATACCCCAACCCGGGATTTCGGCTTCCCCGTTTGATGTTCCCCCAACCCCCGTGGTGTCCCAACGGACTCCGTCTATCGTGCCTATGTCTAGTTTGATATTTCGGGTACCGTTCGTAGGTTGTACGAGTCCTATATATTGCATGCTAGTTGAATTGGTATCCCGTTGACCTAGGTATAAGAAGTATGAACCCCTGAGGAGTATTCCCCCTTCCCAATGTGTTAATATGGGTTGCATGTGCTTGTTATGTGTTATGTGTGCATGTCACCCCGATGTGGTTGAGATCAATCGGGTTATACGGGCAGTCGGATGGACTGAGAACCATACCGGCTGTTAACCAGGCTGGTAAAGACCAGTCAGGTATATAAATATTACATAGGACTAAGTTCCACTATACGGGCAGTCGGATGGGCTGAGAACCATACTGGCTGTTAACCAGGCTGGTAAAGACCGGTCAGGTATATAAATATTATATAGGACAAAGGTCCACTATACGGGCAGTTGAATGGGCTGAGAACCATCCCAACTGTTAACCAGGCTGGTAAACACCGGTCAGGTATATAAATATTATGTAGGACAAAGGTCCATCAGTTGGTTGCGATCGGCTCCTCCATAATGTGAGACGGGGCAGGGTGCTGCGGGGCCGTGTCAGAGCTATATGCGCTGACCCTCATGTATGGGCATGCGATTGGTCCTGTGGCGCCAACAAAGTGTGCTATATGATGAGATAAGAAGGACTGATGTTGTGACTGTTATGGAAACGTGACCATAGGATTCTTGCTAGTAAACTATACATGTTCAATTGTGATTATTGGTTGTGTTTATTTATAACTGTGCCCTATGTCGAAAACTGTATATACTTGATTATGACTGCTGATTGTGTGTACCCCTATCTGTCGAGTCGGTTCCCTGATTTGAAAACTAGAGTCTCGTAGGATATATCTTCATGCTTCGAAATGACTTTTCGTATATCCATGTATATATGTGTATATGTATTGTATTTCAACGCGTTGGAGTGGGTTACCAGCATCTCTCGCTGAACAGATATATTTGGCTTTCAGGCACAGAAGAATAAGTCACTGGAGCTCGCTAGAACTTGGAGCGTAGAAGTAGATAGTTTCCCTTTCGGCCTGCGTGCCATGTTTATGCATTTACATTATTGAGGATATTAGTTAGTTAGCCTGTGCACCTGAGTTCTCTAGCTCAGGTGTGGCATAGCACCCCGTACTCTTGTATTATGTTTTGGAATTTAATGAGATTTCACCTTTATTTTGTAAGTTTTAAATATCCTGAAAATCTGGGGTGTTACACTAGTATTTGCACCCGTGCGATGCACGACCATATGTATAGTATATGGAATATACAGTATGTACTAAAGCTTAAGAAATGTAATAAATTAAAAATTCCCACAAAATAGAAAATTGATTAAACATTGTTGAAGACTTTTTTGTACACAACATTTGTTGTCTTACTAAGACATGTTACATCTTCTCCGCAAATCAATACTTTTAAACCCGTAGGGTTACTGACTCTTGAAACAGCTACGTACATTTGCCAATGGTTAAAGACTGGTCTTTTAAAAAACAATCCCACTCTTGAGAGCGTTTGTCCTTGACTTTTGTTTATTGTCATGGCGTAGGATAGCATCAAAAGAAATTGCTTTCGTTGGAATTTGAAAGGCAATCTTGGATCTGACGGTGTTAGTGACATTCTTGGAATCAAAACTGTAGTACCTGCATTTGTACCGCCCATTATTTTTGCTTCCAAAACGTGATCATCTAGCCTTGTTACAATCAATCTTGTACCATTGCATAAGCCAAGAGTGTGATCAATATTTCTCAAGACCATAACCGGTGACCCAATTTTCAAAGTCAATGCATGATTGGGTACACCAGAACATCGCAGACCATTCAAGAATTCTGGAGTGTGCAAATCCGCTAACATATCTGCATTAGAATCTGACTTGCAAACTGAATCACAACTCAAATAAGTCATACCCTCACATGGATTTTGATCATTCATGTATTGGTTAATGATATCTACCACATCCAACGTTGGAGCTAATATGGCACTATCCTTAAGGTATGATAAATCACCATTACCGCTCCTAAACAACGGGAAAATGCTATCAACAATCATAGAAATAGTATCATCATCACATTTAAGCAGAAACTTATCTGGAATTGTTATCTCTGCGTCACCATCCGTTGTATTCCCAATTTTCCCGTCACCTATATCTGCTATCCAGTTTGCAAACTCTTCAATCTCGTTGGCCTCTAGTTGCGATTTTACACTTCTTAGGCGTATAGCCTAAATACTTTGCATGATCTCCAAAGGTATGATGAATTTATGCTCGAACCAACAATATCTTGCCTTGTACCCTTTGGAATAACCGGAAGAATTTGTCTAAAATCGCCACCTAAAACAAATGTTTTACCACCAAATGTCATTTCACAGCTTCTTGGATTTGTGGAGCGCAATAAATCACGCATAGTTCTGTCTAGGGCTTCAAAGCAGACCTTGCGCATCATTGGAGCTTCATCCCGTATTATCAACTTGCTTTGCATAATAAGCTCAGCCAGCGGGGTGCCTTGTCTTATGTTGCAAGTGGAATCTTCATTAACAGATATAGGTATTGCGAACCTAGAATGTGCTGTCCGACCACTTGGTAGCAGAAGAAAAGCTATGCCGCTATATGCAACATTTTGAACAATTTCACCCTTCCACCTTAAAGCGGATGAAAGTGCTCTCCACAAGAAGGTCTTACCAGTACCACCATATCCATAAACGAAGAAAAATCCACCAGCTTTGCTTTCAATATTTGTTAACACCTCCTCATATATTACCTTTTGCTCATCTTTCAGTTGACTAACTAATTCATTATTCTCTTTCTCCTGAGCAACACGATCATATGCCAATTCTTCTTGTATCAACCTATTTGATATTACATCATAATTCTCAAAATTTGCAACTGGCATTTCTGAAAAGTCCCTAAGACTCTTTCCCATCATTGATAACAATTTTTCAATCTCAACCAAAGCAAAATTCATCTTATGAGAGTCATTCAACACAGAATATGCAGTGATTTGAAGCATTAAATTACTACAAAACCAATGTGTTTTGCTTTATTACGTTATTTTAAAAATAACTGAAAATAAAATGCTCCAGAAATAGCTAGAATAATTGGTGTACCTGAATTTTGCAATTGTTTCCGAACTTGATATTGTGCATCTTTAGATAAATGTTGCCACACGGCATCCCACACAGCTTCAGGTTTACCTATACAGCTAGTCATTAACAGTGTAACAAATAATCTCCTCAACTTATCTCCAGAAGCCCAGTGACTTGCTTCCTCTATTGCGTCTATATATTCTTTGTCATCATCAACTAAGCCCCTAGCATAACACGCATCTCAGAATGAATCATATTGCACACCATTCACAATTTTTATATCAGCAAAAGATGTAGAACCACGAACTTTATTCAACAAACATCTTAAATAAAAAATTTCCCCAGTGCCAGGTGGGACGTAAAAAATCCTTCCTATTGCGAATCCTTTTTTCCTTGGCTGCCATTTTCGTAGTTGTTTCTTCCACACAAATTTCGTTGGCATCTCAGCATAAGTCATCTTTCTTGCCTCTGGGAATGTCTTATTAGCCTCAAACCATTCCAAGAACATGCTTTGTGCTATAGTTGGTCTATTCACAATGTTCTCAACTGGATCATCATCGGCAAAAATCACACTTTGTTGATTGGGTAAGTGAAAGCTTAGTCATTCCACTGAGGGAGCCCTAAGTTGTATATCAAAACCAAACAACCGCCATACAGCCTCACAGGGTGATATGTACCGACAGTCATAGTACATATTAATCTCATTTACAGATTTTCCAACATCTGAATCATTGCTGGTTTTGTAGAACTCGGTTGTTACCCTATCGTGTCCCTTATTGACATATTTGAAAAGGTACTTGATTGAACGAGACTGGTTGCACCACTCGACATTTATATGAGCCTTGTATTTAAGCAATAAATGTTTATTGTGAGGTACAACATACCTATTGTCCAAGACAATGCCGTTCTTTGTTATTGCCCTCCCATTTTCTCGACGTCTATATAAGGGATATCCATCCTCATCAAAAGTAGAACATTCCAAAAATCTCTTGGGAAAATGTTTTGAACATCTTCCTTTCACCATACACGGAGAATTCAACCTAGCTTTTCCACATGGCCCATGCATAAGAAATTCCTCAACCGCTTTGTATTCTACATCCATATTTTCATCAGGTATCTCAGCTGAAATTATTTTGTCTAAAGCTCCAACTTCACTGGTGAGCTGTCGTAGGCTCCCAAATTAAAACCTTACAAACGTAGTAGCGGGAGTAAGGATCGATCCCACGAGGAGTAACTAGTTTAACTTTTGTGCTCAAATTAAAGGTAGGGGGGGTTTGGAATATATCGAGAATAAAGATAAAATAAAAGAGAATTTAAATAAACAAGAAATTTAATTGAACGAATAAAGCAATGAAAATGATATATCGAAAACACTTATAATAAGAAACCTTGGTTAGTAAAGATCCACCACCGGAATTCAACACTGATCATTGATTAATAAAGTAATTAATATGCAATTGAATATTTGTCGTGAAATTATTTCATTTCTGTTTTCCCTTAGCTGTAGGTAAATAAAGCACAAGCGGTTTAATTACCCCTAACTACTAAATAACCTAAGACAAGCACTATAGATTTAATTTAATAGCAGCAATAGGAACTAGGAAAACCGACAAACTAAATAACACAAGCACAAGCGGTTGCATTTAATTTTGGAAAATATTCTACCCGAATCCAATTATCACTAAGCCGTCAATAATTAACCCAGTTGCTACTGAATATTAGAGTAATTTGTAGCACAACATTATCTAATATAGCAAATAATTATATCAAATAAATAACTAGTAGGCCTCCCTAGCAATTAAATGACACAATTATTTCAAATAACTTAGAAGAATATTTAATACTCAAATGCATAAAAAATATATAATAAAAATAAATAAATAACCTTACAGCGTAATGAACTCCGGGGCTTCAATTCACTAAACCAAACAAGAAATTAGCCGCGAATGGGCATTGATAACAACCTTAAAGAATATTCGAGAGGGGAAGAATGAACATTTTATAATAGAAAACTTCTACTATTTATATACTTCCTAGATTAATTTCTACCGCTCAATTCCTATTGTTTCTCGCCGCACGACTCCGTCGACCAAAGTTGCGCCGCATTTGCCGCACGCCCTGAAGAAGAAATCAAACAATATTATTACTTTGTTTCTTTATCTTTAGGATAGGAAATGGATTAGCTATTAATATATTATATATATATATTTAGTATATAGCACGCTAAATATATTAAACTAGGAAATGGAGTTGTACGTATTCTTATATATTATATATTATATATATTATATATTATATAAGAATAGATTATATATTATATATAAAAAGAACTAATTATTAGATAATATTAAATAATTAATGCAAAATTATTATAAAGATGTACCTAAAATATGAGTGTAAAATATGCTTATCAAATTCCCCCACACTAAAACGTTTGCTTGTCCCCAAGCAAAAATATTATTTGCGAAGTAAATTAAAAAGAAATTCCCAAAACTCATAACATATCATGAACAACAATCTGAAGCACCCTGCAATTAATAAGTTAGCACCCTGTTTGAAAATGGAGAAAACTAAATAAGTAAGCCCTCACATGAATATCACTCATCACTCAAGTGTTTGATGGGTATAAATTTCACTCAAGTTCATTCCTATAAAATTGATCTACCATAGGCTTGCATATCTTCTCAATCACCACTACAAGTGTCATGCATGACACAAATCATAAGGACTTTTCACAGGTTGTAATGGGGCTAGGGTTAAGGTAGGGAATTTTTAGGAAATTAGCTTAAACAAAAGCTTCAAACTAGAGGAACAAATAAATACAAGTAATCCAACACCCTCAATTTCCAATCAAAAAAACACATCCCATTGAGGTACAGAATGCTTCCTCAGATTACCAGAATTTCCCCTTACTTCATTTATTTAGAAGTAACTTCAACTCAAAATTAATTGCTGATTCTTTTTCATTTTCTCATAAATTTTCAGCAATATTCTTCTTTTTCAAACGTATATTCTTCATTTTTCCATTTCATTTTTTTTTCAATTTTTCATGCTTTTTTATTTTTATTTTTATTTTTTTTTGAATCGTGAACTGCTCCCTCTTTTCTTTTTTTCATAGAAGACCAACGACATATTGGCAACGAAGATACAACTCACCTCACTCTCAATCATATTAATAAGAGTAAGTGATCTCACCCACACTTATCCTTCCCAACCTCACGTAGATTACAAAAATAATCCAAAATTTGCTCCACTAGTTATTCAGCTGGGTGAAGGCATTATTTTAGATATAAAAGGCTTGTAATGTGGTCCAAAATAAAGAAAGGAATGGCCATAAAGCTCAAAGTGGTTAACAAAGGGAAATAAATCATAGGACAAACCGGTTATTTGGCTAGTGAGGCTCAAAGTCAAATAATGGCCTTAATCACATTTGAATCATGCATGGTCTAATTAGCTTTAAAAGAGAATCAAGGCAAGTTCTAGAGAAACAAAATTATGGAAGAAATCACACAAAAGAAAGAAAATAAGACCGAAGTGTCAGTCAGTGGCTCAAAACACTCACAGGTTTATTGCTTACTTAATATAGCCACTACATATCAAACAAGAGATGCTAACAAACTAATCACAACTTGCCAAACTATTTATTCAATCATGTTATGCATTCCAAGAAAGAAAAAAAAAATATTATTTTTCAAAATAATACTTATTTTGCATAAAATAATAGTAAAATATTTTTTTGAAAATTATGAAATAAGAAAATAAATAATAATTTTTTTTTGACATAAGCAAACAAACAATAAAGTTAAATTAATCAAACAAACAATAAAACTAAATTAAGCAGAGAAATAATAAAACTAAAACTAAATCTCCTCCCCCCACACTTATTACCAACATTGTCCCCAATGTTGAATAAAAACATGCAAAAAAGGATTATTAAATGAAAAATAACGATTAAGAAAAAGAGAATAGAACAAACTCCCCTTCTAGTTGTGCATATTATTCAAAGTAGCTGGGATCTTCAAGAAGTATATCGGCAATATAATCAACTTGAGCCCCTTCATAGTAGGGTTTAAGCCGATGACCATTCACCTTGAATATCTTAGAAGTCTGTAAACTTTGAATCTCTATCGCACCATGAGGAAAAATGTTAGTGATAATAAATGGACCAACCCATCGAGAACGTAACTTACCTGGGAATAGCCGAAGACGTGACTAGAAGAGTAGGACTTTTTGTCCAATTGAAAATTCCTTTCTCAAAAGCATCTTGTCATGAAATGCTTTTGTCTTTTCTTTATAGATTCTTGAATTCTCGTAGGCCTCATTGCGAATCTCCTCCAACTCAGAAAGTTGCAACTTCCGGTGTAGGCCACTTTCATCAATGTTCATATTAAAGCTCTTGACAGCCCAATAAGCTTTGTGTTCCAACTCGACGGGGAGGTGACAAGCTTTCCCAAACACAATGCGATAAGGGGACATACCAATAGGTGTTTTGTACGCGGTTCTGTACGCCCATAATGCATCATCTAATCGCAAACTCCAATCCTTCCTGTTTGGGTTGACTGTTTTCTCAAGGATTGACTTTACTTCTCGGTTGGATACCTCTGCTTGCCCGTTAGTCTGCGGGTGGTAGGCAGTTGACACCTTATGGGTGACATGATACTTTTTAAGCAAAGCTTCGATGGTGCGATTACAAAAGTGAGTACCCTGATCACTTATTATAGCCCTTGGAATGCCAAACCTGGAAAAGATGTTAGATTTGATAAAATCTGCAACAACTTTAGAATCATCAGTCCTGGTGGCTTTAGCTTCCACTGTAACACCCCTGATTTTCAAGACATTTAAAACTTAATAATAAAGGTAATATCTCATTAAATCCCAA